ATAGCCAGTTGCCACATATTATACAAAGCGGTCTTGGAGAATGTGAATCACCTGTTGCAATGAACCTGTAATTTAAGTAGGACTCTTGGTATTTTCTTTTAAATGCAGCCTTCTTTTTGTTGGAGGTCTTAGAGTCTTCTGCTGTCTCATCATTGGGTCTTTCCCCCTTTTCAAAGAAGCTCCCCAGCGACATTTGTTTTTCACTCATTTTGGCTAGGGTTAGCTTGTGGACTTACCAAAACTGTGACTGAGACAAGTGTGCAGTGTGGGAAAGAGGCGTGGATGGAAGTGGTAAAGAAAATAATGGGCAGGCCATACCGAGCTAAAATAAGTGTCAGATTCTGACTTAAAGCCTGCCATCAGATGCAGCTGTACAACTGAAGTACTTCAACTCACTTGCCACCAGATGCAGCTTAATTGTCACTTGCCACTCACCGAGAGGGTTTTGATATGAGTCTGCAAGCAATTGATTTACTATGGTCTCTATGCAGTCGAACCTCTCTGCTAATGATAATCTGTATTTGCAGCCGCTGCCAGCGCTAGCATCACCACCTCAGCTCCACTGAAGATCATCAGGCATTAGATTCGCATATGGAGCGCGCAACCTAGATCCCTCACATGCACAGTTCACAGCAGGGTTCGCGCTATGAGAATCTAATGCTGCCGTTGATCTGACGGGAGGCGGAGCTTAGGTGGTAATGCGAGTGATGGGGAGCAGCTGTAAACATAGAAGAAGCTTCGCTCGCTCACCCACCACTCACCTCCTGCTGTATGGCCTGGTTCCTAACAGGCCACGGACCGGTACCTGTCCGTGGCCCGGGGGTTGGGGACCCCTGGTTTAGATATTTGGAGAGAGAGTGGAGGAGGAAGGACACTGCATGTGAGAAGAACAGCAGAAGTAAAGGCTCAGTGGTGGGAAAGAGGAGATATATGTGGGAGCACTAGAGAACTCACGTTTTGGAGCATAGGACACATACAGAAGAGAAGTGGAAAATCAGGCTGGATGCTAGGTGGGGGCCAGGTCGCCCAAAGCCTTATGAGCCAGATTAGAATACATCCTGTGCAGTAGGGAGACCTTGAAGATTCTCAAGTAGAAAAGGTATGCTCGGGTTTTATCTGTTGCTGCTTTGAGATAAGGACTGAATTGTTTAGGCTTTCAAAAGCAAAGGCTCAATTGTTTAGGCTTTCACTAACTTGGTTGATTGGGAGGAAGCTGGATTGGGATTGGGATTCCAGCTGATTGCTGGAAGCTCAAGCTGGCATATCTCCTGCCATCTTGCAATTCTGCTCCAGGGCTTTGCCCTACCTGTTTACAGTTATCTACCACAAACATGAGGAACACAAAGAAGAATCCCAGCTAGTCCACAAGCAGGAGAAAGAACATGATTGCATGTGGGTGTTGGGAGGAGAAGATTATTGGTTATAAAAAGAAGAGAGGCAGAGAGAATATGGGGCCACCCACTGTGCTGGAGTTATTACCCTCTGCCTCACCTGTCTTGCCTGGGTGCCCTTGCTACCCACAGCCTTAGGTAGGAAGCCTTGTGGCAGCCTCAGACCTCTTGCTGCTCAAGAAGAGGCAGGGATGCCCTGGCAGGCTCTTTTTACATGTGTCCAGGTATGTTCCCAGGCAAAATCTCTGTGTCCAGGCAGTTATGGAGCCGAGGGCCTGCCTTGGCCTCCCTATCCCATTATCTGCTGCCCAGTCTCATCTGCTTGGAGAAGGAAGGCTCTGACCCCTGAAAATTCTGACTTGACTTGGACACTGAACACTCTGCTCAGTGTTAGGCCATCTCTTGCCGCATGGAATGAATCTGTTTCTTTTGGCTCGCCCATCTATGATCCATGCAGCAGCTATAGATATCTTTTAAAAATTATTGATTATGGGGGCTTCCCTGGTGGCGCAGTGGTTGAGAGTCCGCCTGCCGATGCAGGGGACACGGGTTCGTGCCCCGGTCTGGGAAGATCCCACATGCCGCGGAGCAGCTGGGCCCGTGAGCCATGGCCGCTGAGCCTGCGCGTCTGGAGCCTGTGCTCCGTAACGGGAGAGGCCCGCGTACGGAAAAAAAATAAAATTATTGATTATGTCATGCCCTTCCTCTGCTTACGACCCTTACGGAGCTTTCCTCTACTCTTGGAATAACATTCTAGCACATGATCGGCTCCGGCCTCCCTTTCCCTTCTTCCCTTCTACATCTCTTCCTCCTCACTCAGATGCGTCACCAGCTTCTGGAGGACTCTCAGCTCTTCCCATTCCACCGCCTTTTGCTGATACCATTCCCACGCCTCTTCATTTGGTCAGCTCTTGTCCTTCATATCTTGGCTTAAACTTCACATCGTCAGACAGGTTTTCCCCATCCCCCTGTAGCTCTTATCCTAATTCATGATTATACATTTACTTCTTTTCTTACTTATTTTCCGTCTCTGCCGCTAGGTCATGAAACTCCATCAAGGTAGGGATCATACCTGTTTCATTTATCCTTATCTCCCTAACAGCTAGCATGGCGCCTGATCTATAGTGAGTACTCGATTGACACTTGTTCAGTAAATGGATGAATGAACTAATGAGTGAACGAGATGCTGGTTTCTCAGTGGATGCACTGATCTTCTCGGAAGTACACACAGGACCCGTCTGACTTTGAGTCGCTGCATGCTGTTCAGGGTCATGAGCCATCTTACACTGCCCTTGGGCCTCGTTAGCCTGGCCCCTCTGCCTTTTGTGCTTACCTGCAACTTCTAGCTTCTTGGTCCTGGCTGCTGAAGCCAGTGGAGCTGAAGGGCCTCCATCGCCCACATCCTATGCTTTGTTCCTATCCTGCCTTGGCCCTTGGCTCTTTCTGTGTAGGCTGGTCCACAAGTAACAGAGTCAGTAAGGGTGAGTAAAGATGTTTGCAGAGCACCTCAGATCACACGGCTGATCCAAGACCTGACCTCACGTCTCCTGGCTCCACAACAGTGATTTTCCTATTACACCCTGCTGCTTCCCAGACACCACAAAAATTGCTGGTCTTTGTGCTAGCAATGAAGATTATCATACACGCTACCCCTTACTACAACAGTTTTTACCAGGAGTGCAGGGGTTCATACTCCCACGGGCACATCAGAATTTCAAGGAAATGAGAAGTAATGTGACTTTTTCCCCATTTAGTTAAAAAATATAGTGGTGATGAATGATTATTATACAACGGTCAAATGGTACAGAAGTATATACGTAAAAAAGGAACATCTGTATTCATACCCCTCTCCCCACTTCATCCCAATCTAATTCTCCTTCCCACTGCTTTCCTCAAAAGTAACTACTTTTAACAGTGTAGTGTGATTAAGTCCAGGTCTTTTAAATATATTTATAAATATTATGTATAAATAATTTATATACATATATATTAAATAGGTTATTTTTTTAAATCCTGTAGAGTTTTAAACACATATTCAATATTATTTTAAAAATTGTGTGTGTTGGGACTTCCCTGGTCGTCCAGTGGTTAAAAATTCACCTTCCAATGCAGGGGAAGTGGGTTCGATCCCTGATCAGGGAACTAAGATCCCACATACTGTGGGGCAACTAAGCCCACGTGCTCTGGAGCCCATGCGCCACAACTAGAGAGAGGCCCGCACGCCACAACGAAGAGCCCTCTTGCCGCAAGTAAGACCCGATGCAGCCAAATAAATATTTAAAAAATAAATAAATTAAATAAAAGTGTGTGTGTTGAAAGTGAAAAAAGGACACTACTTTTGTGATGGAACAAACTCTTGGCCAATGGAGCACAGTCAAGAGGCCTTGTTCTGGTATGTGTATAAAGAGATGGCAGGAGAACCAGCAGAACCTGGGGCTAGAACTAAAGCAAAGGAAGTCTCCTTTGTGAGATGGCTCGGAGGCTCTCACCAGCAGCAAAAGCGGTAGGCACAGTTCATTAGGACACCCTTGTGGTGCAAGGCCACAGCCTATCACCTACAGTCTGACAGGACCGAGATGGAGATGATGATGTGGGCAGAAGGAAGGGAGTTGAGTAGGTATGTTAGGATGAAAAACAGGACAAAAATGGATTTGTGAAGACAATGAGAAGACAAGCCATAGACTAAGAGAAAATACTCGCAAAAGCATATCTGAAAAAGGACTGTTATCTCTCTTAAAACTCAACAATAAGAAAATGAACAACCCGATTAAAAAATGGGCAAAAGACCTGAACAGACCTTTCATCAAAAGAAGTGTACAGAAAGCAAAAAAAGCATAAAAATGCTTCACTTCATATGTCATCAGGGAAATGCAAGTTACAACAACATGGAGATATCACTACACACCTATTAGAATGGCCAAACTCCACAACACTGACAACATAAAATGCTGGTGAGAATGTGGAGTGACGGGAACACTCACACTGCTGGTGGGAATGCACAATGGTATGAAACAGCCACTTCGGAAAACTGTTTGGTGGTTTCTCACAATACTAAACGGATCCTTACCGTATGATTCAGCAATTGCATTCCTTGGTATCTTCTCAAATGAACTGAAAACTTTTGGCAACACAAAGACCTTACACGAATGTTTATAGCAGGTTTATTCATAAATGCCAAAACTTAGAAGCAACCACAACGTGCTTCAGTAGGTGGACAGATAAACTGTGGTATATTCAGACAGTGCAGTATTATTCAGCAGTAAAAAAAAAAAAAAAAAAAAAAACAGCTATCAAGCCATAAAAAGACATGGAGGGCTTCCCTGTTGGCGCAGTGGTTAAGAGTCGGCCTGCCAATGCAGGGGACACGGGTTCGAGCCCTGGTTCGGGAAGATCCCATATGCCGCGGAGCAACTAAGCCCATGATCCACAACTACTGAGCCTGCGCTCTAGAGCCCGGGAGCCACAACTGCTGAGCCCGCGTGCCACAACTACTGAAACCTGTGTGCCTAGAATCTGGGCTCTGCAACAAGAGAAGCCACCACAATGAGAAGCCTGCACACCACAACGAAGAGTAGCCCCCGCTCGCCACAACTAGAGAAAGCCTGCGTGCAGCAACGAAGACCCAATTCCGCCAAAAATAAATAAATAAAAAAGAAACAAAGTCTATTAAAGAAAACCCCAAAACCTCCAAATATTTAAGACATGTAGACAGGGGTACTAAGAACTCTAGTTTGATATTAATGATGTAAGTATATGACTAGTCTCACATGGACAGACAACAAGGTACTACAGAGAGTAGGCTGGAGCAGTAAGTAGCCAAAAGGAAAAGAGAAACAGGATAAAGAAAGGGCACCAAGCCCTCCTATCAGGGGCTCCATCAACACACTAGAGACTAGTAGTATACTAGCTGGCTATATATATTTGTGCTCCTGATACCTGCAAATAAAAAGATGCTAACCATTGTTTTAAAAAAAAAGAATTTGTAACTGCCCTTCTCCCCCATCCAGTGGGGCGTGTGAGGCACAGGAGCTCCCTGTGCTGGGAGCTCAGTGCCCAGTTTTCACCCTGGCATTGCCTCTGGTTGGCTGTGCAACCTGGGACAAGTCCCTTTCGCTCTCTAGGTCCATTTTCTCTTTGTGTAAAGTGGGCTTGCAATTCTCAAGGGTCTCTTATTTCTTAAGGTTTTATGCATTATTTCCTGGGAGCAGAACCTTTTGAACTTTTCCTAAGATAAGGGTAATTAATTAGAGTAACCATTGATAAGGGTAATTAATTAGACTAACCATTTACTAAGTATTATTGTCTCACTTAATCTAGAGAACAACTCTCTACTATTAGCCCTGTTTTACAGATGGGGCAACTGAGGCTTAGGGAAATTGACCAATGCCACAACGCTGATCAGTGGTGGCATCAGGATTCGAAGAAGGTAGACTCCTCTGCCCTCCCTCTCCACCACTCTGCAGGAAGAGCCTCTAGGTTCTGTGGCCTGGGAGAGGAGAACAGAGAATATAAAATAAAAGCACTTTATGTAAGACAGGAAATGGGTCTGACCTTGGACACTCTCCCAGTTACCTCTAACATCACAGAGAACAATGGCAGAGCCCCTAGGGCACAGCAAACTTCAGAGGATGGAGGGTGTGGAGGTTTCAACATCACTGGTGAAGGAAAGGCAGACTCTAGGGGCTGAACTCTGGAGATAAGAATGCATTTAGGGGAAGATAATACGGACTTATAAAACAAGGGAAAAATTAAAGGGTTATCACTCCACTAGACTGTTCAGAAAATTTACAACTTTTCTTCTTTTTGTGAATCACAAATTTCTTTTTCCTTGAGATAAAGAATTGATCCTCTCAGAGAAAAAGCAAACATTAATCATTAAACTTTGCCTACAATTTCATGACGTTTATCAAATTCCTAAGAAGACCCATGGCCTAGGGAGACTCCTAAGAATCATTAACCAATAATTATGTTAAAAGTAATAGTGGGGCTTCCCTGGTGGCGCAGTGGTTGAGAGTCCGCCTGCTGATGCAGGGGACATGGGTTCGTGCCCGGGTCCGGGAAGATCCCACATGCCGCGGAGCGGCTAGGCCGGTGAGCCATGGCCGCTGAGCCTGTGTGTCCGGAGCCACGACAGTGAGAGGCCTGCGTACAGCAAAAAAAAAAAAAAAAAAGTAATAGTGGAAACCAACCATTTAACTGTCAAGTACTCTAACATTTACAAAATAACTTTGCATACATTACTTAATCTTTCCAATAAGTAGGCTGTTAATCCCCACCCCACCCCACCCCCTTTATTTTTTTTGCCACACCGAGCACAGCACGTGGGATCTTAGTGGGATTTTAGCTCCTCGACTGATAGGGATAGAGTAGGATAGTACTCTACCTTACTCTATCCATCACAGGTAGTTGTAGAAGTCCCAGCAGGGGATCATAGATAGAGAGGGAAACCTAGGGAACTTTGGGAGACCACTGTAAGTTAATGATCGCTCAAGAACTATCGGGAACGTCGTGGAACGAAGCAGCCTTGTTTAACTATAAAGCCATAAATAAAAGCATGAGATATGCCCAGGTTATTAAGTGAAAGAAAAAAATGAGGCCTGCATTCTGCTGGTGGAGTTCAGCAAGACAGGGATCCTTAGGACCAAGGACAGGAATTTAAGGGAAAGGTGACATTCCAAAGTAGGAGACCCTCATTATACAGAAACCTGAGACTATTCAACATATTTTAGTATATGTTACCACCCTGCTGCAGATTTGAGTAAGCGCTATGACAGTGCTAGTGTGACCTCATAGGGTCAAACACTCTCCTGCCTGATACAAAGGAGGAGCCAGTGATGTAAGCCTGATGTCTACTCGAAGAATGAGGAAGACGGTCTTTTCCCCTTCCCCCACTTTCCTTTGACTATAAAAATGTAGCCTGCTTAATCCTTGGGGCAGAGCCCCTTCACCTGCCAGCTTGTACCCCGCACAAGCATCCTATATTAATAAATCTACTTCTTGCCTATCACTTTGCCTCTCGCTGAATTCCTTCTGCGCTGAGACACAAAGAACCTGAGCCTCAGTTAAGTCCAGACACAGGTGAGTGACTCTAATTAAAAGACTGGGTTCAAGTCCCAGTCTGGGTTTAGGTTGGGTTTGAGTCCCAGCATGTGGGTTCAAGTCCCAATCAGCAGTGCACGGTTTCACGACCAGGGATCAAACCCGTGCTCCCTGCAGTGGAAGCGCAGAGTCTTAACCACTGGACTGCCAGGGAAGTCTCACAATACCCATTTTTATAGGTGAGAAAACTGAGACTCAAAAGAGCCAGGGAAGGGGTGACTGTACTTGGGCAGGTTTCTTTTAGGACGGCCACATACGCTTATACCCCTTTATACAGTATTAAATTCACTTCTACCTTTACTTTTTTAAAGAACAAGATTGTGCCCATCAGTGTGCAACAGATGTGGCTCATTCTTCATTGTTTTTACAACTGTGTAGTATTTTGTTAGAGGCTGCATCATGGGTTATTTAACCAGTCCCCTATTGGTGAGTATTTTGGCTCTTTCCCGAGCTGAAATGGGTAATTATGCACATATGATTTCCTACATATATGAGAATTTGCCTGTTAGATACATTCTCAGAAGCGGGTTTAGTAGGTCAAGGGCATGTACTTTTAAAGTTTTCACAGTAACAAATTATCCTCCAAGGGGTACCACTCATTTGCTTTCCACAAGCTGAGGGTGAAAGGGACTGTTTCTGTCTATCCCAGCAAGCGCTGGCTGCCACACTTCTCACCCTGGATCGGTCTCTGAAGAGTGCAAGTGGCAGCTCCTTGTGGGGCTGCACTCCTGGACTCGGTTCCTATTCCTCACTTTATCAAAGATTTTGTACGACTGGAACCTGTCTGAAGGTGAGAGTTAAGATGTCAGGGCCCAGGAAACTATATCTTGGAGAAGCGCTTGAAAGGACTCTGTGGAAATTAGGACAGCCAGACTCATGCCCTGCCCCTCATTGAAGGGCTGTCATTAAGATAAGGGAGCACAAAGTGCTGTGCATCCAGGTGGGGTGAAGGTCAACAGCAGGTATGGTGCAGCAGCTCTCCTACTAATCTAAGAAAGCCCTCAGGGACATAGAGAATAGACTTGTGGTTGCCAAGGGCGGGGGCGGTGGGAGAGGGCTGGATTGGGAGTTTGGGATTAGCAGATGCAAACTATTATATATAGAATGGATAAACAACAAGGTCCTACTGTATGGCACAGAGAACTATATTCAATATCCTGTGATAAACCATAATGGAAAAGAATATGAAAATGAATGTGTATATATATGTATAACTGAGTCAGTTTGCTGTACAGCAGTAATTAACACAACATTGTAATTCAATGATACTTCAATTTAAAAAAAAAAGCCCTCAGATCTCGCCAACATTCTCCCTAGAAGACTGCTGAGGTAGTGAGCTCCCTGTCAGTAAGGGTATTCAAGCAGAGATCAAGGTATGCAGGACAGGGTTGACTGGTAGTTTCTATTCCCACATCTTTTTGGTGTGTCTTCCTCTGTTGCAGAGGCTGGAAAGGGAACAGTTAGTTACATCTCCTATACTCCTGGAAGCTACAGTTCTGTCTATAAAACAGGAAGGTCAAAAGGTGGTGGAGGATATCTGCTGCTTCAGGCTGTTTTCTGCTGTCAGGAGAGGCTGTAGAGAGGAGGCGATTTTCTATAGAGTCATCCTGGCTTTGTTCTCGAGGTTGTCTAAAGGCATGCCGCGGCAGGCCCCAGGCCCAATCCCTGGGACACAGCAGCAGCCTTGGGTTCCTGACCACAGTGGTTCCAGGGGTCTCCTGCTTCCCTGCCCTCCTGATTATGGGGGAGGTGGTGACTCCCCGGGTGCCACTTCAGAGGCATTGTTCTGAGAACCCTTCCTGTAAGTCCAGTCTACAGCCCCCTCCTCCGACCCTCCTAATGGCTCTGTAAGCCCCTAATTCCCATTATGAAATCTATTTCTGGTATTTTCCTGCGTAAAATACGGTTTCCTACCCTAACCCTGACTGATGGGAGGCAGGGATGTGCAAAACCTACAATGTAGTTTCCTACTCTCAATTTCTATGACTTTTCCACATTGTTCCATGGCAGAAAAAGCAGTACTCGAAATCCGATGTTTTTACTGAGGGACATGTGGCGATGCTGGCAGGAGAAAGGGGTGGCCCAGCTCGCCCCTCACTTCCCTGGCTGCATCTCCAGGCCCTGACTTGCCCAAGCAGAGGTGAGTTTGATGTGACCCATGGCTTCTCAGATCTACTCTCTCTTGTTCCCTTGGCACTGATGCTAAGTCTGGCCCTAATTGTACTCAGGGTTCCAGGACAGGTGGTCTGACCTTAACTTGGGGGTTTTCTGGGGATAAGTGATAAAGAACATTTCCTTCCTCTGCTGCCTTGTGGGCTCTTGAGGAGAAAGCTCCCCATGAAATGGGTAAAGTTGTGACAGAAAATTCACAGGATGCCAGAACCAGACTTAGCCCTGCCCACAGTCTAAGGGAGAAATCCCTGTTATAAGCGCTACCCACATTGTGCTTAATACCCATTGTCTCCTTTAACCCTCTCAACAACTCTAAGCAATAGGACTTATTCTCACCATTTTACCTATGGCTCAGAGATGGGGACAGCTTGCCCAAGGTCACACAGCTAACATGGAAGTCACAAAAGCAGGATGGGAATGAGTGTGTTTTTCTGTGATCTTAACTACAGGTTGTCCAGCATCCTAGAAGCCATCTAGTTCAACGTTCTCTCCCCTCCCATAAAATTCCTGAAGGTTTCCTCTTCCTTGTGTGTTACAATCTTTCCAATAGACAGTGGAAAATATGTATTAGATGGAAATTAGCACATTTTGACTAACAATTTTATATTTAGAAGTTTACCTATAGGATATAATAGGGAGTGTTCAAACATGTATGTAAACTCAAGGGTACTCATTACAGCCTTAGTTATACTTGTAAAATTATAAGCAAGCTATTTGTCAAGTCATAATGCTAGGGAAATTAATGATGATACATTTATCCAATTGAATGGTATTCAGTTATACATGGTAATATATATTGAAATTAATTGATATGTAAATCCAGGTTTTTCAAAAGTTAATTTGTCCAGCAGTTACTGAGTATCAACTATGTTTGAGGCACTTCACCCATGTCATTCTCTCTGTTATTTCAGTTTTGTGTGCACATCTCTTCCTCCCAGGGCTGCGAGAGCCTTAGAAGCAGGGACGTGAATGATGTCACGTGCTCACTGCTGTAGCCCCACGATGCCCAGGTGCTCAGTAATGTTGAGTAAATGGACCCCTAAAGAGTTATGCTTAGGATTTAAAAATTATCTTTAAGGAGCATTATTTTTTGCCACCAACACAACTTCTCTAAACCTCTCTTTGCCTGTCTGTCAAGATTTAGCTCCTGGAGTTACTGGAAAGAAGAAGGGAGAAGTTCCCATAAAAGTCTCCAGGTGCAAGATCTCAGGCCCAGGAGCTCCTGTCGGGGAGGTAAGGAGACTTATGAGATCCCGCTGACCTCCTCCGGGCAGGAGGAGACCTGGTGGAGATGCTGCTAGACGCTCCCTGGGGGCCACCGGAGCATTCCTTGGGCTGCTGAAGGAGGTGCCTCCCGCCCCAGGCAGGCAGACACCTCACTCTTGCGCTCAAGCACCGTGCGGGTGAGGGGTGGGAGTGGTCATGGCTTTGGCAGGGGTTGAGCAAGCACAGGTTTGGCATGCAGGAGCTGCAACGCCCAGCTCTCAGCTGTTTGAGCCATAGAAGGCTCAGGAGCTTAAATACTGCACTGCCTACCTTGCCTGTTGTGATGCAGGCTCTGCTCCTTGGGAAGAACAAACGGCCAAAAGCATGAATGGATGGATAGATGGGCTTCTCCTACCCTCAACACGGAGACGCCTCACAGTTGCTCTACGAGTCTGTTCTTTCTCCTCCTCCTTCCGATGAAGTACCCCCATGCTGGCCACTCCGCTGGGTGCTGGGGATCCACCGGGGCCAGGGTGCAGTCCCTGCCTTCCATGAGCTTAGCTGGAAATCATGAATATCAATCAGGGTTTCCCATACATAAATTAAAAAAATTTCAACTGTGATAAGCGCTCTGAAGGAAAATTTAGCAAGGCTGAGTGTGTGTAACAAAAGCAGTTACTCTTATAAAGGGGACCAGGAAGGTTTTCCTGAGGAAGAGGGAAGTCCCCTGCACAGCAATGTTCTCTTCACCTTGCTGCTGTAACAACATGTGGCTTCCCCCTGAGGTCACTGCTTCCTCTGCAGGCCTCTAAGAGAGGGCTGCTTTCCTCTCTCCTCTCTAAGACAGCTCCCTTGGAACACGTGGCAGCAGTCCGCAGCACCTCTACTTGTTGCGGCATGCACAGCCCTCAGGGCCGCCCCCTCTTCCACTTAACACCCTCTTTCTCTCTTTTTCCCTTTCTTGCCCTCTCTCTCCCTCCACCATTTCCCTATGATCATTCTTGATTAGTTCAACCGCATAAAGGAATCACCTGTACTCCATCCTCTTACGTCCTTGACCACCTTTTCTTTCAGTTTGTCCTCCACACACTGACTCCCACCATCACACCCCAGACCTTGTCATTATCAAAACCTGCACCACTATTCTGAAAAAAGTTTTATTGAAGTATGGTTGATTTACAATGTTGTGTTCCTACACTACTTTCAAAGTCTATTTCAAGCATCCCATTCTCTGGGTGCCTCACCAACACCTACTGGTCCATCTCACATCCACTAATTTGCAGACCCTACCAGATCTTTGACCACGTCAGGGCCTCCTGTCCACTGATGCTGCTCTGAGACCCACCCACTGCTCTTCGCCCCCTCATAGCTTCATTCCCCTTTTTACCCACTGATTGGTCAGTTGTGGAGTCTCCCTGCCATACACTCTCATCTCTCTTGTCCCTCTCCTTGTATTGTATCCACCTTCCAAAGCCACAACACTGACCGGATGCACCTTTGCCTCTACTTTGAGACTACACCCAAGTGGTTGAATGTGGCTAGAGAACAACAGCCGGATTTGCCAACCCGTCACATTTTAAATTTATGAAAACCTCAGGTGGGTCCTAGCACCGCAGGGAAAATCTACTCTTTGTCTTATTTATGTGGTTCTTCCACTCTTCAAGAGGACTATTTCCTACCTCTTCTCTCTATTCAAACCTCCATTACTCTCCCCTTTTCACTGTCAGCCGATGGCATTGTTCTCATTTCATTGAGAAAACAGAAGCAATCAGAAGAGAACTTCCTTATCCTCCAGCCACTAAATCTATCCACTGACCTGTGTCTGAATCCATATACGAGGCTTTTTCTCCCATGAAAGTGGCTGAGCCATCCTCATCCTGTCCTAAGTCCCTTTATCTTGAGCACTGGATCTCATCCCCTTTCCTTCACCTACTTAAGAGTCTTCCTCCTGCAATGATCCTTCCCTCTCTCTTGCACCATCAGCCCTTCCCTTTCTACGGCATCATTCCCATGAACATATAAACATACCATAGTACCTTTAATCTCTCATCTCTCTGCTCCCTTTCATAGCAAAACTCCTTAAAAGACTTGTCTCTATTCACCCTCTCCAATTTCTCACTTTCCATTCTCGTGAATCTACCTCAGCCGACTTTCATCCTTATTATTTAACTGAAACTGCTTTTGCCAGTGGCAACTATGGTTCCTGTTGCCAAATCCAATGGCTAAAACTTAGCCCTCCCCTCAGTTGTCTTGACAGGAGTAGACATTTCAGTCCCCACCCCCCTTTCCTTTTGGCCGTGCCACGCGTCATGTGGGATCTTAGTTCCCCGAACAGGGATCAGGGATCAAACCTATGCACCCTGCAGTGGAAGCGCAGAGTCTTAACCCCTGGACCACCAGGGAAGTCCTCAGTCCTTTTTACACACACTATTTTCACCGCTGTGGTGATAGACTCTAAGATTCCACCTCCTTTGATATTTATGGTATTCATGCCCTTGTTTATCTCCTCCTCTTGAGTGTGGGTGGGACCTGTGCTTGCTTCTAACCAATAGAATGTGGCAAAGATGATGTAATGTCACTTTCATGATTACATCGTCATATAAGGTCTTGGTTTACTAGCAGACTCTAGAGACTTCAAAGTTAGTTGGCTTTAAAGAAGTAAGTAGTCATGTTAGGAGGCCCATATGGTTAGGAGCTGAGGGCCAGCGAGAAGCTGACAGGCAGCAAGAAGCTGGGGCCCTCGGTCCTACAACAGCAAAGGAATTAGTTGTGCCAGAAACCTGAGCGAGCTTGGAGGAATATTATTTTCCAGTTGTGTCTCCAGATGAGACTATAGCTCAGCCAACACGTAGTTGCAACCTGTGAGCCCCTATAAGCTTAGGACCAAGTTAAGCCATGCCTGAACTTCTGACCCAGAGAAACTGTGAGACAATAAATGTATGTCACTTTAAGCCAGGAAGTTTGTGGTAATTTATTACACAGCAATAGGAAACTAATATAACCATTCATCTTCTTTTATATGGTTATGTTTTTTCCATAGTGGCATCTTATACTGTATTTTTAAAAACTCAGACACAAGTTATTTGCATATTAAACAGGTACTATTCTGTACCTTCATATGGTAAATCATGACCACGGAACCCTAGGGTCTAAGTGAGGGGTCAGAAGAGAACCCAAAGGTTCTCACACTTCTTACCAAGTGTGACCCTGACCAAACACCTTTGTCTCTCTGAGGTTCAACTTCCCATATATAAAATGTATAGGAGATTTCCCTGGCAGTCCAGTGGTTAGGACTTTCACTGCCGTGGCCTGGGGTTCAATCCCCGGTCAGGGAACTAAGATCCCGCAAGCCAAGTGGTATGGCTAAGAAAAAAAAAAAAAAAATGAATGGGTTGCAGCAGACCATCTCAAAGAAACTCTAAAGTGTAATATATAATGATTCTGTGGCTGACTGAGGGCCTATCCAGTCTTCTTTGGAGGGAGGGATGTTGCTGAAGCAGGGAACAGAAGGACTCACAGAGCTGAAAGATTTGGGAGATGAATTTCTTCCCCTATTTCATCTGTGAGAAACTGAAGCCCAGATGAAAGGGACTTGCTAGTACATGGCAGAGCTAGCCTCAGCCCTTTCCTTTGGGCCCCTACATCAGTGTTTTTTTGGCAACAGGAGACACTTCTCTCTTCTAAGCTCTCCCAGGTCCTTTGTTACCGTTGTGAGGTAACCCCAAGGTCTGCCTGCCCTACAGGGGCTTAGTGGGTTTGCTCCAGATCTCTTAGAGGGCTTGGTTCCAATCCTGGGAATATTCCTCACCCAATGCTGCCTTTTCCTGCCTTATTTCAGGAGGACCTACCAGTTGGCGCTGTCTTATGCCGAGACTGAGATCAAGGAAGCTATTGTCTGAGTAAGAGGTTAGGGGAGGATCTGTGGGTACGATGGAAGCTGTAAGTTGGTTTCAGATAGATTGGAAGCTAGAGCTTTGGAGAACCTGAGCCCAGTAAGCTCTCGGAGGCTTCCCGCCACACACTCCTACTTTAAAAATTAATATTCACGGGGCTTCCCTGGTGGCGCAGTGGTTAAGAATCCACCTGCCAATGCAGGGGATACGGGTTTGAGCCCTGGTCTGGGAAGATCCCACATGCCGCGGAGCAGCTAAGCCCGTGCGCCACAACTACTGAGCCTGCGCTCTAGAGCCCGCAAGCCACAACTACTGAAGCCCGCATGCCGAGAGCCCGTGCTCCGCAACAAGAGAAGCCACCACAAGGAGAAGTCTGCGCACCGCAACAAAGAGTAGCCCCCGCTCACAACTAGAGAGAGCCCGTGCGCAGCAACAAAGACCCAACGCAACCAAAAAAAAAAAAAAAAAATTAATATTCACATTTTTAAAAAGACGTCCATAGTTAAACCCTTAATTTTTTTAATCAAAGGATTTATAATTAAAGCTAGAGTCTCCTTATCTGACCCTCTCCATTCCTCTTTCTGGGGCTAGCCTTTTTTTTTAATTGGTTTTTTGTTTTAGTTCTTCAGTTCTCCATCTCTTTGTATAATACACTTCAATGATATTTCTCAACTAATCAACATGCTGTTAGATGAAAATTTATGCCTGTCAATCTCCCCCACTCCTCCTGTCAATATAATTATTGCACTTTTAGTTCTTTTTTACTTATCTTTGTACTTTTAAAAATTATAGTTCTTTTAGTTCTTTTTTACTTATCTTTGTACTTTTAAAAATTATATAAGCATAAAGATAAACTTCTTAAATTATAAAGAGTACTTGTGTTAGTTTCCTATTGCGGTTTTAGCAAATTACCACACGTTTTGTGGATAAAACAAGAGAAATTTGTTGTCTTACAGTGCTGGAGGTCAGAAGTCCTAAAATCAAGATGTTGGCAGGGCTGTGTTTTTTTCTGGAGGCTCTAGGGAGAATCCCCTTCTTTGCTTCTCCAGCTTCTAAAGGCCTCCCGCACTCTCTTGGCTTGTGGCTCCTTCTCCATCTCCAAAGCCAGTAGAGGAGCATCTTCTCTTCTCTGACCTTTCTGCTTCCCTCCTATAAGAACCATTGTGATTACATTAGGCCCGACTTGGATAATCCGGTATAATCTCCTCTTGTCAATATCTTTAACTTAATCACATCTGCAAAGTCTCTTTGGCCATCTAAGGTAACATATTCACAGGCTGTGGGGATTAGGACCTGGACAGCTTTGGGGGCCATTATTCTGCCTACTCCACCATTCATCCCAGTTTACCTGGAACAGTCCCACTATATGCCTGGTGTCCTGGTGTAACTATTAATACAGCTCCCATTGTAAAGCAATTATACTCCAATAAAGATGTTTAAAAAAATATTAATACAGCCCCTTTTATTCTCAAAAGTGTCTCCACTTGAACAAAAAATTATAACACCCCACTTATCCAATGTTTCCCAATCTCTTTTATACCATAACACATGTGGAAAACGATAACATTTTATAGATCCTCAGGATATAAGAACAAGCCTACTCATGACTAGAGGTAATTGTCTCAGAAGCTCTGGCCACGTTAGGACCCAGCTGGCTGCTCCAAGGGGCAAAAGTATCAACATCTCAGCACCCCTACAACCCACTTATGGTAAGCCATTGGCCACTGCATACCACTGCAAAGTCTTCCTTACACTAAAGCAATATAATATGTTTTAAAGCCTGTTCTTCTGATATGCTCCTGTGTGAGCAGCATTTAATTCCAAGGAGTGTACCCGGGTTCTCATACACATGCCCTGACGCTCCTGTCATTGCAATCCTGCCTGCAGGTTAGTTCAGGTTGTCAGACTGCTGGCATCTTTTCCCATATGCCCTCTGGTTCTGTGTCCCTGCAGAATTCCCCATCCCTCGCGCATTCTCCCAGGCACCAAGAGTGTTGGTGTGGTGGCAGAGAGGTCCCGTTGGATTCTCTGGATGGGCTTTTTAGACAGCTTGCAAAATTTTTCTCTGGGTCTTCAGAGTGCATATGTCTCTTAACTTTGTAACACATGTTTTTTTTCTTTAAACATACTCGTTTACCACAAAGCCGTTAGTGGTAAAACATTTTATCAACATTACCTCCTTTCTAATCATCAAAAGTCACAAGAGCTTGGCTCAGAGGCACGTTGTAGTGTAGATATGGCACCAGCACTTTTCCTAGTATCTGAGCTGCTGTTTGTTCCCTTAGTGGGGTCCTTGCTTTAACGGCTGCTTTTCATTTCAACCACATTGCTAATTTACTGAACAGGATGCATCTTCCTTGGTCATCACCATGTTACATAATGATGGTGTTTGCCTTTCTTTATAACAATTCCTAATTTCTATAGCCATTTCTAATTTCCATTCCCAAATTAAGAATTTTTTTTTTTTTTTGCATACGCTGGCCTCTCACTGTTGTGGCCTCTCCTGTTGCGGAGCACAGGCTCCGGACGCGCAGGCTCAGCGGCCATGGCTCATGGGCCCAGCCGCTCCGCGGCATGTGGGATCTTCCTGGACCGGGGCACGAACCCGTGTCCCCTGCATCGGCAGGCGGACTCTCAACCACTGCGCCACCAGGGAAGCCCCCAAATTAAGAATTTTTAAGTGAACTTTTTGGCACTGTGCCACTTAATGCATTCTTGAATTATACTGTTATGGCTTACAGAATAGTTTAAATTACACTAACAAAGAATGCTTACTACAGATAATTACTCAATCCACCCACAGAAGTTCCATGTGAACAACGGCATTTCTCTCTGGTTTCTGACAAAAATGGGTGGGCACTTCTGTGTCCCAGCCGAAGTGTAGCACACTTTACAGTTCACTCTTTTGAACATCAGTCAGGCTATTATAAGATACCTCGTGAAAGTTTAAATTTGGGTAGGATTCTAAATACTCTAAATTCTGCATACGAAGTAGGACTTCATTAACATTTTTATACCACACCATCTTAAATACATGTAATGCAGCTATGTATACAGAGACCGTGTTGTGTACCCTGGGTGTTTTTGTTTTTTCCTTAACCACATGTGCTCCTTCTACATGTGCTATTTTGTAACTGCCATGTATGTGGGGGCCAAGGGCTGGGAAGCCAGAACCAGGAGACACATGACGTGTGTGACTCTGGGTGTGTTGCCCCTCCTCTCTAGGCCTCGGTTTCTCCACTAAGGATGAGAGGTTGGACTCACTGAGCCAAGAGGGGCTTTCCAGCTCTGATAATCTAGAGTTAAAGGAGGCTCCCTGGAAGAATCCCTCATTCTCTTTATGTCTAGGGATGTAAATAGAAGAAAAAGAGAACAAAGGGGAAGGAAAAGAAACAGCTACAAGAAAAAACGGGAAGGAGCAGATAGGTGTTGATAAGAGAAGGGGAAAGGAAAGAAGCAGCAAGATGCCTAGACTCACAAAGTGTGAGTATGGACTTCATTTATTAAAAAATAGGTTTCAATTCCCAATGTTTTTAAAGAACACTGGCTGTGGAGTTATACAGAGTTTGACTCCTGGCTTTATCACTATATTCTTGTGTGACTTTGGGCATAGTTTTCCTGTCTCCTTGCCTCAGTTTCATCTATTAAGTGGAATGAAAAATAACAACCTCATAGGATCTCAGTGGGGAGTAAATGAGTTTGTAAAGCATATAGCACCCAGTGAATCAGAGATCTTACTGTCATTGTCATCACTTTTCATGGAGTCCCTCTGAGACAGCGGGGGCAGGAATTCTCCTTCCTTTAAGGTGTTTGCAGGTCGCCCTTCCCCTTCCCATCCTCATGAGGCCAAACAACTCCCACTTCCTGAGTGAAGAACCCAGAGAGGCGAAGCACACATGTTCCCCCCATGCTACCCAGGTCTGTCCCTCCACTGGATGTGGACAGTGAGAGTAATGAGAATCACCTCTTGTGTGGATATATTGATCAGTACAGTGTGCCAAGTGCTCTGAAACCCATCAGACCCTCTTCTGGCTGAGAGATGAGGAGGCAGAGGCTCAGGGAGGTTAAGCCCCAAGAGGTCATGTCATGTGTCCAGGGGTATAGGAGGCTGGGAAGCTGCATCTCAACACTTTTGTCCCAGTACCCATAACCTGGGGAGGCGTTCGCTCAGCTTCTCCGGGGAGGCTGGGCTCCTGCGTGTTCTCTGCCCTTTGATGGCGTTCCCCACCCTGCTGCTTCACTAACCGTGGGTGCTGCTGAGTGGTGGTTGTGGTGAGATGGTCAAGTATGTGGTCACTGGCACTCCGGCTTCAGCAATGATCAGCCGTGCGACCCTAAATGTTTTAAATCTTTCTAAAGCCCACTTTCCTCATCTGTAAAATGGGGATAACGCCTTATGCCTAGAATGAGAAGTTGAGACAGGGTTTCTTGAGAAAGTGATTTACTAAGGGAGTGTTCTCAGGAGAAGGGGTGTGAGGGAAGCAGAAGGGAAGAAAAGGGAAAAGCTAAGTGAGGATGCAGTCTCAGGTGGAGACTAGCTTCAGCCCGATCCCACAGGGAGCTCTGGAGCACAAGTTGCATCATAAGCTGGTCCCACCTTAAAGTCAGGGGACTGACCTTTGGTTCCCATCCCCCTTAACTAATTGGCTGTGGACTGCACTTCCCCCATCTGTCATAGAGTGTGAAGGAAATGGATCGGGGACCCAAGGGATCCTGAAAGAAGAGATGGAGAGAAAAAGGGGAAATTGAGCAGGACTCATATGACATACACAATCAATAAACATAAACCCTCTCCTTTTTATACAAAAGGCTGTATCACCATTCTCTTCATATTTTCCCTTAGGAATATAACTGGAATTTGCTTCAAAATAATTTAGGGTGCAGGGGCATTAGGTGGGAATAGATAATCGGGGGGTGGTGGTGGTGGTGATGGTATTGGGTTGGGATACAGATAAATAATGTTGGCCAAGAACTCTCTCCAAACAGAGTTGGTTTCACACCCAGCAGCCAATCAAATCTGCTCTTTTGAACACCATCAATGGTCATTCTTTGCTAACCACAATGGTCTGTTTTCAGTCCTCTTCTTATGTGAACAAGCAGTAGCATTTGACATAGGTAGTCTCTCCCCTCCTTGAAAAACTTTCTTCACTTGGCTTCCCAGACACCACCACTTCTGGTTTGCCTCCTAGCTCAGTGACCGTGCCTTCATGGTTCCTTCTGCTCATTCCCAGTCATCTCTCTATGCTCTCCTAGACTTGATTTTTGGATTTCCTCCCATAGTTATTTGCACTCACTTCCCTGTTGAGCTCATCTAGTCTCTTTGCTTAACTACCATAAATATGCTGACAATGGCCAATTTTTTATCTCTAGGCTGGACCTCTCTACTCTCCACAATCATCCCAATGCCTACCTGACCTCTTCCCTTGGATGTCTCACAGGCGCTTCACACACAACAGGCTCCCCTTGCTCCCCACCAAAACCTGCCCCTGCCACTGTCTCTCTGTTCTAGTAAAAGGCAACTCTATCTTTCCCGTTGCTCAGGCCAAAGTGTTTGGCTCCTCCCTCTCATACTCCACTTCCAGTCCATCGATGTGTCCAACCTACGATAAAATTATTTTCAGAAACTGACCACCTTCACTGCTGTCACTCTTGTCAAGTCATCACAATCTTATCCTGGCTTACTACAACTGCCTCCCAACAGGTCTCGCTGTTTCTGCCCTTGCCTATATCAATCCAATAGACAAAGCATCCTTTTAAACCCAAATCAGATCATGGCACTCCTCTGCTGAAACTCCTCCAGTATCTTCCCATCTCACTCAGAATAAAAGCCAAAGCCCTTAAAGTGGCTCACAGAGCACTATACAATTTTCACCCATTTGTTGTTGCTCTGACCTAATCTACTTCTCTTTCCCTAGCTCTCTTTGCTCCAGCCACAGTGACCTCCTTGTCATTCTTCAAACGGAAGAGGCGCAGTCCCACCCCAGGGCCTTAGCATATGCTATTCCCTCGGCCCAGAATGCTCTTCCCAGTGTTCACATGGCCTGTTTCTTCACCTATTTCAGGTGTTTATTTACATTTCATCTTCTCAGTGAGAGCTTTCTTGACTATTTAAAAAGTTGCAATCCCTTCCCTCTGCCTCCAGACTCCCTCTTCCACTTTCCTGATTTACTTTTCTCCATAGCAGATGCACCGCTGACATATGTATATTACTTAGTTATTCTTAGTTATTTCTGTTGCCTGTCTCCTCCCACTAAAATATAAACTGCACAAGAGCAGGGGTTTTTGTCTATTTTGTTCACTGTTGTATCCCTAGAGCCTGGCACAATGATACTCAATAAATACTTATCGATAAAAATATGAATACATTTCCTCATCCTTATCTTCTTACTGTTTGATTTGATTCTTAATTTCTGTTATTATATTTTAAATTTCCAAATTTTAATTTAAAATTAATTTTAAAATTTATAATTTTTATTTTTCTCAGAATATTCTTTTTTAAAGCATATTGTTTTTATTTCATGATTGCAACATCTTATCTCTCTGAGGTTTTTTTAGGGCAGCATTTCTCCAACAAGAGGCAACATCAGAATCACCTGGAGGGCTTATTGAAACAGATTGCTGGGCCCCACTGCTGGAGTTTCTGATGCGGATTCTGGAGTGGGACCCCAGTTTGTGCTTTTATGTTTTGCATAGTTTCTTCCAACGTGCCTTCATGTGTTTGTGCATTCCAAGGTGCTTTCATGTGTTTGTGCATTTGATTATTCTTCTTAGAGGCTTTTCTTAGATGTCTGGTAATCTCTTTCAAATTTTAAAATTAACCTTTTAAATACAATAAAGTTCATATATTTTAACTGTCCAGGTAATGGCTTTTGACCAGCGTTTAAGCCTATGTAGCCATCATCCCAATCAAGATGTAGCATTTTAGCACTGCCCCGGAAAGCTCTCAAGTCCCTTTGCTGTCAGTCCGCACCCCACACATCCCAAGCAACCACTGATCAGTTTTCTGTCACTAGATTAGTTTTTGCTCATTCTATATATTTGTATTAATTGAATCATGTAGCATGTAGTCTCTTGTGTCTAGCTTCTTTCACTTAGCATAATGAGATTCATCCTTATCAGTAGTTCCTTCCTGCTATATATGCCACAATTTGTTTATCAATTCATCTCTTGATGAATATTTGAGTTGTTACTAATTTAGCTTTAGTAAGCTGCTTGCTGTGAACCTGTGATTACAAGTCTTTGTATGGATCACAGCCAGGACTAGGGTGAGGCAAGCCGGGAAACCTAGTTCACAAAATTTAAGGAGGCCCTCACTCTTGTGTACCTATAAGTGCCAACTTTGCACTTGCACAACCCTGAGAGGGAGCCCCTCCTTAAATTTTCCACCCAACGCACCAGGCTCTGGGCCCGGTGTGGATATGCTTCTATTTTTCTTGGGTAAAGAGTGAAATTGCGGGCTTCCCTGGTGGCACAGTGGTTGAGAGTCCGCCTGCCGATGCAGGGGATGTGGGTTTGTGCCCCGGTCCGGGAAGATCCCACGTGCCATGGAGTGGCTGGGCCCGTGAGCCATGGCCGCTGAGCCTGTGCGTCCGGAGCCTGTGCTCCACAACGGGAGAGGCCACAACAGTGAGAGGCCCGCGTACCCCCACCCCAAAAAAAGAGTGAAATTGCTCCATCATAGGATAGATATGCATTTAACTTTGTAAAAAACTGCCAACGAGTTTTCTGAAGTGGCTGCACCATTGTACACTCCCACCAGCAAGGGATGAGAGTCCCAGTTGCTCCACATCCTCACCAACACATGTATTTCCACTCTTTTCTTCTCTGTTGCCACAGATGGACTGCTGCAAATATGGCTCACCCGTGCAGTTCTTTCTGTCATCCTCATCTCTTTGGCTTTCCTGATCCAAATGAGATTCAGGAGAGTTTTTGTTGTTAGTCTTGCTGAACTGTCCATGAGCGCTGTTTCAAACAAAGGCGATATAAGCTGTGCAGCTCTGAGTGAGCTCTTCACCTTCAGAAAGGGTTTTTATTGATGCTTTTCTGGGATCTGCCCTCTCCCCTAACCCCCCACCCTGGGTCCCCTCACTCCTCTCTGAGTTTCTTCTCCTTTCTCCTGCACAGCTTCTGTCTGATCTCAGCTGCTTTTGTTGGTCCTTAAACGTATTTTGATAACTATGGATTATATTTCTCTTCTGGCTTTGCTGTAAATAGAATTTGCATTTTTTTTCCTTTTTGCTTTTGTACAGTTTCTAAGAGTAAAAGTCAAAGTGGTTATTTACACAACCATTTTGCACTAGAAATCTTTATATTTCTGAGTAAACAGTGGGGGCAGAGGTGGAGATTTGCATATTGGGGAAAAGTTATCTGGGAAAGATAAGGAGATGTTATTGTATGCTAGTTTCTAATTAGGGCTGCAAAATGATAAGGTTGATAGAGTCCTAACAGTATCTGAAAATTGTTCAGCCTTTTCTCAAGGGTCTCTCTGATAAAGGTGTAGTAAGAACCTTATCTAGAGTCAGTGCATCCCAGGTGCAGATGGCAAAGTCCCACCTCCATCAGTAATTCCAATAGGGAGCTATGTGGTTCTCACAAGCTCTGCCTTTCTGGGGTAAAACATTAGGAGGAGCCACAGAATCAATGAAATTTGAGGTGGGAGATGACCTAAAGGGGGCATTCCTAGACTTGGACTCAGCAGCATTCCAAGCACAGCTCCTGGCACTGAGCAGTCAATGAACTGGGGACTTCTACCAGGGATGGGATGAATTCATTCATCCTCATATTTTGACTACATTCTTTTCTCTTTCCCTGCTGAAATGAATCAACTGGAATAGATTTTTAAAAATATATATATAGGTTATGGAACATATAGAGATTTTAAACATATATACATAAAGTAATATATGTTTATGAAATAATTTAAACAGTACAGACAGTGAAGAATAAAAGTCTTAAGGAAAACAGTAAGTACTGGTATTCATGATTCTAAATTTTAACACTACACATCTGTACATGCCTATATATAGATACTTCTATAAATACATGGCATAGGGTTTGGAAAACAATACTCAAATGCTGGTAACTGTCAATCTTTGGAGAGGAGAGTGAATTTGGGAGAAGGGAAATTTTCACTGTTTATATATACCAGGGAAGTCCATGTTCATTATCTTGATTGTGGTGATGGTTTCACAGGTGAATATATATGTTGAAAGTTATCAAATTATACACTTTAATTATGTGCAGTTTATTGTATATAAATTAAACCACAATAAAGCTGTTAAAATATTCAGTAAAAATTATATAATGCAGTAACATATTTTTATTAGAAATGTTACGCAAGAATTTCCCTGGTGTTACAGTGGTTAAGAGTCGGCCTGCCAATGCAGGGGACATGGGTTCAATCCCTGGTCCGGGAAGATCCCACAGGCCGCGGACCAAGTAAGCCTGTGCGCCACAACTACTGAGTCTGCGCTCTGGAGCCTGTGAGCCACAACTACTGAAGCCTATGGGCCTAGAGCCCATGCTCTGCAACAAGAAAAGCCACAGCAAGGAGAAGCCCGTGCACCACAACGAGGATTAGCCTCCCCCGCTCACAGAAACTAGAGAAAGCTGGTGTGCAGCAATGAAGACCCAACGCAGCCATAAATAAATAAATAAAGTTATATTAAAAAAATTTTTTTTAAAGATAATGAATATATTTGTCACCTTGAAAGTTTCCTTATGTCCCTTTATAATCACTCTCTCCTCTCCTGATCTCCTCAGCCATTCCCAGGCAACCACTGATGTGTTTTCTGTCGGTGTAGATTATTTTAAAATTTCTAGAATATTATATAAACAGAGTTTTTTTTTCTGGCTTCTTTCACTCAGCATAATTAAGATGTATCCATTCTGTACCTGTTTCAATAACTTTTTTATTTTTTTTGCTCCGTAATTTTTAAAAGTAAAATCTGCTAGGAGGAGGGAAGAGGAGCGTAGATAAGACATACACTCCCTGTTGCCATTAAAAAATGTTATTTACATTTTTAAAATATATTAAAAAGAGGGTATTGACTTACCTCACTGCCCCATTTCCAGTCGCAACCACACGTTTGGGCAAACGTTTAAAAGTATGACGAAAGTTTGGAAAAGATGCATTATTTCTCGATTATTAAGCGCAACATATGCTCGGTGAGACGTGTTAACGTACGGCTAGGGTAAAACTGAGCCACCTTTCACAAGCCCACAGCTCAGGGTACCGCGCTCTCCGACTCTGGCCTCGTGGCCGGGCCTGGATCTTCGACGCGCGGCTCACGCCCAGATCCCGCGAGCACCGTCCTTCCCGCAGAGGCAGCTCCCGTCGCCAGGTGGTGCTGAGAAGCCGAGCCCCCGAGCCCCGCGAGAGGGGAGGAGCAGCCGCGCGCGGGAGCATGTGATCCGGGCCTCGGGTTTGGGAGCCTGGATCACGTGATGGCGCCCGGAAGCGGCTGCCTGGGCAGCGGAGGGTGGGCATGGCTAGGGCTCCGAGCTGAGGCAGGGAGTGGTGGGCTGCTGCGCTGAAGCTGGAGCCAGAGCCGGAGTCGGAACCCGAGCGGTGAGTCCGCGCGCTGATGGCCTGGGGCTGGCGGCCGGTCGTCGCCTTCTGCTGGACCCACGTCGCCTTCCTCCGGGCTCAGCGGATGCTCCGGGTCAGACACCGACCGGCTTAGGCTGCGGGTCCGAGTCTCCTCGGTATCCCGGTCGCAGCTGCGGTGCGATGCGGGCACTCCTCCTGGATGAGGGGAGGTGGAGAATCCCTAGTCCTTCGCGCTGTCTCCCTTGACCTCCCCGACCTGTTTGACAGGTGTGGAAACTGAGGTCCCGAGACGGGAAGAATCACCGAAATGACCAGCTAGAGCTTCTGTTGAGCGCTTTCTAGAGGGGTCCGGACATCGCGGGCGGGTGACCCGCCAGCTGCGGGAACCCTGCTTGGGACTTGCTAATAGCGGGTCTTTGGGTCATAGAATACCGAAACTACCACGATGCAGCGAAATTATCTTTTGCAACCCCTTTCTAGAGCTGTGGGGAAATCGAGGTCCAAGAAGCGGTGGGGGTTGTCTAAGGTCATCCAGTGAGTTAGTCGCAGCCCTGCGACTAGAATCCAAGTCTCCTGAGCTCCAGTGGCTTTTTGCTTTTCACCACACTGCCTCCTGCAGAAAACTTGACAGGTGAAAAGCACGCTTTTCCTGTCCTCTTTTCTTTCATTCCTCTCCCTTTTTAGCTCTGCATTCTCCATCGCCGCCGGGATCGACTTGACTCTGGGTGTGGTTCCCTGATTCAGTGTTCACCGATTTTTCTGCAAACTCATCATTCTGTAGGTTTTGTTTCTAAGCGTTCTGCAATTTTGTGTAAGTCATACCAAAATATGAAATAAGAAGCAGAGTATGCTCCCGGGAGGGTAGGTGGCTCACAGCTGAGGTTGTGGAGAGCCCTAACATTAACTTGAAGAATGTCAAGACCTTTGCTTTATTTTTAATATAGCTTGTTAGATTTGGGGAATGCTGGTCATTCGGATGGATGTTTTGCTTGCCAAAAGAAGATAGCAGCGTGGTGTAATGGAAAGAACTGAGACTGGGGAATCAGGAGATTTTGTTCTAGTTCTGACACTTGATTTGCAACCTTGGGTGACTCCCATCCTTGCTTGGGTTTAGGTTTCCCAGTCTGAACAGTGATGGGGTGGAATCCCTAAGGTCTCCTTCTGCTGTGACATTCTCTGCATCTCAGTCTGTTTTTTGTCTATTCAGAGAGATTTTTTCTCCTGTATATTAGTATTTCCCTTGCAAAAAGGTTTAATTCAGTTGTCCAGGAAGCAGTTTCTCTACTTATTTCTAGGTTATCATGAAATCCACCTCTTCTTTCTACCTATCTCTGTATTATATCTAAGCTAAATGCTGATAGCTGAAAATGGTTTTGACTTTTATTATTTTAAATATGATCAAGGCCCTCTTTGATTCTTGTTGAGAGGCTAGTCTACAGTAATTAACGTGATTGTATGTTTAGAGTGTGTTTTTTTAAAAGATGTTCTTGAAGTCAAGAGGACACAAAAGACTTAACCATTCCCTCTGGGTTTGAGACTGTTTGGGGTGGAGGCCTTATGCAACAGAGCCTGCTCTGATGATCATATTAAGTCTCTCTCCCTTTGTTTTCTGATTGTGCCATTTATAATTGTCTGCTCTTGAGTCCTTGTTTTCCCTTTAAAGCATGTATCTGTTCATTTGGCCTCATCCCTGTGGCAGCTTGACGTGCTCAGAGCTTTGTCTATTTTAAAGGCAGTGTAAGGAGGTGGATTCCATTTCTTTTGTAATGTTCCAGAGACCACAACTGGGACGGTGGATGGAAGTACCATAAAGGAAGTGGTTTGGGGGTGAGCATAAGAACTTTAAAAGAATTAGCGCTCTAGCGTGTTGCAACACAGAGCATGGCAGTCCCTGTCTCTGGAGGTCATTGTCACTGGGAAATTACTTTTGGGAATGTTGTAGATTAGGTCATTGTGTTGGGTAGAGGGTCAGACTAGATAAAATTTTCAGTTTTCGGGCTTCCCTGGTGGCGCAGTGGTTGAGAGTCTGCCTGTAGATGCAGGGGACACGGGTTCGTGCCCCGGTCCGGGAGGATTCCACATGCCGTGGAGCAGCTGGGCCCGTGAGCCATGGCTGCTGGGCCTGCGCGTCCGGAGCCTGTGCTCTGCAGCGGGAGGGGCCACAGCAGTGAGAGGCCCGCGTACCGCAAAAGAAAAAAAAAAAAAAAAAATTCAGTTTTCTTCTAACTCAGAAGTTCTTTGAAATTCTAGGACTGGACTTGTTAGCATGTGGAATGTGAGGTAGGGTAGATGGAACCGAGGTGCACTTTTGTGAATGCTTTATTTTTCCCCTTTGCTCAGATAACAATTCTCAT